TGCTTCAGCTCTAACTTCAGTCTTTTCATCTCAATTTCCAAGCTATTCTGCAATTCACGACAAAAGTTTAATTCATTTAATGCATTATTTCAGTTTTTCCATAAAAGTTGATTGCCGAGATATTTGAAGTTTCAAATCTACATCAGCTAAGGAAGATATTTGAACTTACAGCAGCTGAGCCCCCATCACTTGCTGCTTCTGGCACCCTTGTGAAGTCTAAATCATGGCCTGTGGGATTTACCGGCCCATCGCTAGTTTTTGCAAATATGTCTAAATCATCGAGAATAGAACTGCGGCTGGATGAATTCCTTGACCTTTTGATGGAAACATCATTACCGTCCTTACTATCCATGCTTTGCTTAGGTCTCATGTTTTGCTCTCCCCTCAAAAAGGTTGATGACCTCAAGAAATTTGACCATGAGAATTAGTAAACTTAAAACCCCCTAAGCCCGAATTTAGTTGTCCACTTTTCCTTTTTGGTGTCGAGAATTCATTGTCCGTGGAGAAATGACGATGAATCGCCCTAAAAACCCCTAAATAGTGCATAAGCTTGTTCCCAAAAATTGAGGGCAACCAATTACAATTGCTTTTTGTAAATCCAACCCATTCCTTTAACTTGAAAGGTTGGGACAAATGGACAACTAAATTAGGACGGAGAAAACCAAACCATAAATTTATTTCTTTTCATTTTTTACCTGCTATCCTCTGAATCGGCACTGCTGACCCTAGAACCGTGTGATGAAGTGACTTGAGACCATGATGGAGTTGCAAAAGTAGAAAGAACTCTTGATGCTGGACGGACAGATTGTTGCTTTCCTTTTGAGATTACATAGACCGAGCAAAAGTCTGGCGCGATCTTGCTCACAATAGTTGATACATCATGAGTCCAAAATTTCCTGGAGAACTTATAATCAAACCAACCTCATATGAAAAAAACCTCCATTTCATTGAACCCATATCTGGGAAATGAAAAATTGCAAGTAAGACAGTATGTTGTTTGTCATAGGACAAACAAAAAACCCGAATTCTTAAAGACAATCAACGATTGTTTGTCTTACTCACAGACATATGATAGAGGTCGGAAGGCTTGCACGAGTTGAATGATCGCATTACAGATTTAAAGCTGTCCAATCTCGATGGATGCTTCTGAGTAAGACTAATACCAGAACAGGGCTATATCTTATAAAGTACTCTACTAGGAAAGAGACTTTGTGTTAGCACGTTAGTTTCTAGTCTTTACATAAAAGCTAGGGTTATAAATACAATGCCGGCTTTTAAAAATCAATGTTGAATATTATCTTTTCACTTTCGGCTAGAACGTTTGTCCTCCTCTCTCACTCAAGTTCGCCCTCTTAGCTTCTCACTATGTAATGCACCTTTTGTTTTTTTACCAAAGCTAACCTTATATAAAGTATGCTATATTAAGAGCCGATTTTGATGCTTAATTACACACACAACATTGGTTTTAAAAATGACGTAACAAGTGTGACGTGAAATGCACTTTTTGCAGTATGGATCACACCCATTTTTCATTTATGAGCATAAGAGCGGTTGAATGAGGTAACTAACCTGGCTATAGCGCTTCGAGTTGATGCACCAATAACAAGGTTGGAAATACGATTCATGTTGATGTACTCTCCTATTGCCTTGGGCACTTCAGTATCCTCAACAACAACCTCCTTCACTATTATCTACATCAACCCAAAACCAATTAAAACACTTTACACCCTTCTTGTCCATTTCCAATGAACGCAACAGAGTCACGAGTGACAATGTTTTGAGTTGTAAACCAATAATAGGGTCGGAAGAGAAAAGCCTCATTTTTTTCATAACAATGGTAAGGTTATGCACGTCTTGACCTGTCTTGACCCTCCAGACCCCAATGGAATTGAGATTAAAATGGGATGTTACTTGTTATATACTCTTTACAGCAAAGTTTTGGGTAGTAATTGTAGCAATGCTCCAAGGGTCTATATGGAACGACCGAACGACTACCAAAGTGTATTTTAATTTTTAAAGGGGTAGGTTAATTACACCTTGACCCCCAATCCCCAGACTCTAATGCAGTTGGGATTATTTTGGGTTGTTGTATGTTCTATACACTTCGGTCTCACATATGGTGCCCTAGTGTTCCAAATGAGTAATTATACTGTATACAAATACTCTAAAAGTTCCTACCTAGTCCTCATTCACCTCCATGTGGGATCTATACTCTATATATTTGGATACCAAAGTGCTTTCTCCATTAAGATCTTGCCTAATTCTCTTTGTTGGTGCGTTGCCTTTATCTGCCATCTGAGGCAAGCCGAGATAGCACTTTTAGCAACACCAATTTCTATTTTGCTCTTCATACTTTAGGTTCCAATGCAAAGAACTTTTCAATCTTCATTGACACATTATGATAATTTAGTATTAGGAATAATAGATGTATTAGGAAATAGAATACGGAGTATTATTATTTATTACCTTCCTTATTACATTACTTCCTTATTATATTGTTACTATAATTCTTTTCGAACTTAGATTAGAATTCTCTCTTGTAATCCTTATATGTAGGGATGTATCCTTTATTATTTAACAAGACAAATTATTATCAAATTATATCATTTAGTAAAGAATTCCTACTTTCAGTTAACATCTCCTACAAAACATTTTCTAATGAACATTCAATGATCCAATGACATACGAGTTAGAACAGAAAACGGATGAATGCAGAGTTGGATTCCTCCCTAGCTCATTCCAACCATCATAATAAAAAGCAAATTTAAATGAATTTAAAATCAAATCATCTGCTTACCCCTCTGCGTGCAGAGTAGACACGAAACGGCATGAAGACGTTATATGCATCGGGATCGTTATTAATTCCACCATTTGCATCTGGAGCACCGTTCTCTGCAATTAATCAGTTAATGATATAAAGAAATTACGAGTAGATTGAAATGTGAAATGGCAGGACCATTAACTATTGCAATTGCGATCAGATGAAAAAAAACCCTTAGGGCTAGGGTACCTACGATTAAGTAATGATTTGTTCCGGACGTGGAGAAGGATGAGAAAGGGACTGCTGATGAGGAGATTATCGACCGCCCATTTCACGGCGGAGGCGCTGTTCTTATCTTTATCGACGGCCACGACGGTGAGGGGGCCAGCGGAGCCGTCATCCGGGACCGTGGAATCCATTTTAGCTTAAATCGGATTGTATAAATGTATGCTATGGCAACAAAATTAAGGCCTAGCTCCACCGCTACCCCGGCACAACCGCGGCAGGCAGGCGGCGGCTAGACTTCCTCCCCCTCCGATAGCGCTTGGGAAGATGGGAGAAGAGAGGATCCGAAAGGAGGCAAAAGAGAAGAGCAGAGAGGCTCTTCCCGTTCGCTCGTTTTTGCCTCATACATGGACGGTGAAATCTTCCATTCTCGATAACTGAAAACAACAAGCCGTTGTTGCCAATAGTTTTTTAAAGTTGTGTTTGGATGCAGTCTAGACCCGATCACGGGCTCGGGTATCCGGCCCGCCCACAAAAACCCGCCCGCAAAATAGCGGGCTTGGGCTTGACATTTTAGGGTACGGGCCGGGCTTGGGCCTTATAAATGGCGGCCCGAAGATTTTAGGGCCGGGCTCGGGTTTATGCTCAAGCCCACGGGCCGGCCCGGCCCGAATAAATTAAAATATTTATTATTAATATAATTATAATAAAATAACAATACCAACATTAATAATAATAATAAAGAACAAACCTATTTCAAATTATTATAAACACACATACATACTTCTATGGAGAGAAAAAATAAACTATAAGTTTATATAATAAAATGAATACATCTTTACTACTCCGTATTGTTTGCAATGTATCACACATTGATTATGACATTCCAATAGATAATATTTTGTACTCCATACATAGTAGCAATATCAAACAAAATATATTCATATATTAATTTTTCTTTCATTACTTATAATAGTTTTTATATCAGATATCTAATATATTAACTTGTTACTTTTTTTTAAAAAAAAAAATTATTTTTTTAAATTATTTAGAAGTTTTTGTCGGTTGGGCCGGGCCGGCCCGAAGCCCTTGGGTAATGATGCAGGCCGGGCTCGGGCTTCTATTGTTGGGCCCGTTATACGGGCCGGGCCGGGCTCGGGCCTAGGAAATTCTCGTAAAGTAGTGTCTCGGCCCGGCCCGCACTTTGATCAGGTCTAGGATGCACGGCCTAGACCTGGCAATCGGGTCAATCGGTTCGGTTCCGGGTCGGGTCTTTTCGGTTCGAGTCTCTTTCGGATATATGTTATAATCAGTTCGGGTCGGTTCGGGTTGGGTCAGTTCGGTTCCGGGTTTATTTCGGTTTGACTGGTTTTCGGTTTCGGTTCGGTTTCGGTTCGGGTTTATATCGGTTCGGGTCTGTATCGGTTCGGATTGGTATCGGTTCGGGTTTGTATCGGTTCGGGTTTGTATCGGTTCGGGTCTGTATCGGTTTGGGTTTGAATCGGTTCGGTTTGTATCGGTTCGGGCTTGTATCGGTTTGGGTTTGTATCAGTTCGGCTTTGTATTGATTTGAGTTTATATCGGTTTAAATTTATATTAATTCAAATATAATGTAAACACATACTAATAAATGAATAATATCACATAACAAATCTAGTTAATTTATGACATACTTCGTAGTTATTTTACTCCGTATTATTGAAGACGGACGTACATAAAAAATAAATACTTATATAATTGACTAATTGTTTCTAAAGTTTTCCCTCTTAAAGTTTTAGGCGCAACCTTTGTAGTTAATATTTTACTTCGACTTCCTAAATTTCTATTAAACTATCCATTTCATTTTGCATTTCAAATATTAGAATAACTATATATAAAAATAATTCTTCCTCAGCCACCGAGTATTTGTTTACTTTTGACTTTTTTGGTCAAAATTAGTAAATTTTGACTTCAAACTAAATAAAAATGATATTAGATACTTATACAAAAAGAGTTTTAAATCTGGTACCATTTTTTCAAAGTCCTAATGTTTACTTGGCTCATAAAATAACAAAATAATATGTATTGATGTGTAGAAAATACAGAAGACGAGTTTTCTGGGGTTGATGTGCATTGGAATGCAAATACTTCCAATGGAACTACAGAGGTATCATTTGATGAGTGGAATTTTTTGTTTGTTGGAGGCCACTTTCAGTTCTACAAATATTTATGTGGATTCTAAATTCCGGTGGCCTGAAGAAATGATTGCATGTGATCCAATGTTATAACTTGATTTTTTTATTACTCTTCTCATCAACTACATTTAATTTGTTTCTTTAAATCTTTTCAGGATATTTAATGAATTGTGGCAGTGCTCTTTGGACAACTACTGAAGAATGAAGATTGTATTGAGTATTCTACCATTAGATGGACTTTTGTATTTTATTTTAATATTTGGATAACAATTTGGTTCTAAATTGTCACTAGAATGCTGTATTTTGTTTGTTGGATAGTATATCCACGAAAATCAAGATTTGTGTTTTAAAAAAGCTCTTTAAGATGGTTCAATATTTTTTTACTCATTCATAATTTTTGGAGAAGAAATCTTTTATTTAGCTTATACTAGGTAATGACGGTTAGCTTGTTTTATTCATTTACATAATCATAAGTTTTTACCAAATGATTGTGACACCTTTCTTCATTTTTATGCTCAAGTATTTTTTATAGTGTGTTAATTGGCATATTAAAAAAAAGAAAATAAACTTTGGTAACATAATTCTTTACATAAAATATGTATTACAATGTAACTATAATTTTTATATACTTTCTATAAAAATACAAATATATTTTAACTTAGGTTATAAAATACGGAGTACAAAATAAAAGATTTGTACATGAAAGTAGTTACATGGTTTGCACTCATAATTTAAATATGTTTTTTTAGAAACATATCAACATATGTAAAAATATATAGGTAATTCCTTTTTTCCAAATTCATTTGATAAATGAAATATTAATGAATTTGATCAATTTCGGGTCTAATCGGTTTCGGGTTTAATCGGTTCCGGGTCTAACCGGGTTCGGGTTTAATCGGGTTCGGGTTTAATCGGTTCGGGTTTAATCGGATTCGGGTCTGGATCGGGTCTGAATACATTCGGTTCGGGTTCGGTTCGGATCATTTCGGGTGTTCGGTTCTATTTCGGTTCTTCAGTTTTCGGGTCAAATCGGGTTTGGTTCCGGGTTATTCGATTCGGGTTATCGGGTCCGGGTCAGTTTTGCCAGGTCTAGATGCACCGCAAGGAGGGCTAAAAAAATAGGAAACTCTTTAGAAATAAAAAAATTGCTACGAGGTAACTCTAGCTTTCTGGTAAGAACCATAGTTTTAAAAACCGGACCGGGAACCGGTGAACCGGCCACCAAAGCAGTCCGGTCCGGGCAATCAGACCGTTTCAGCAGTGAACCGGCGGAAACCGGTTAAAACCGGTAAAACCGGGCGGTTTTACCGCCGGTTTTTTAACTCCTATTTGAAGTTTTTTAAAAAACACATCACTGGGATTCGAACCCAGGATGTATTGTTCCAAGGGGCAGCCGCAGACCATCTACGCTACAAAGCTTGCTGGTCATTCCCTACTTTTCGTTTGTAATATTCTTAAAATAAATTTGTTATTATCAAATACTCTAAATACATATACATATTTAGTTTTTTTTTAAAAGGAAAATTCAAAACCCATTGATGTAATTTATAGGGAGTGCATATCACACAAATATTATATATATATTTTTAAATAATAGGTAAAATGTTTAAAAAAAATTCAAATAACATTTTATTTATAAACTTTTTTCAATAAGTAAATTTTATTTTTTATCTAATGACACAACTCAAGTAAATTAAGTTAAATTTTAAATTTAATAAAACATCAATTCTTTATTTATAAATAGAGGAAATATTATTTTATTTACTCATATATTAATTTTTTATATTATTTTATTTATATATATATTTATTAAAAATGTTTGAACCACCGGTTCAACCACTCGAACCACTGGTTCGACCAGTGAACCAGTGAACCAGTGCCTTGACCGGTTCGATCACCGGTTCGGTTTTGAAAACTATGGTAAGAACTACTAGGTACTTTACATTTTTAAAATATAGTCACAAGTATCTTAAATTATGAGAAAATTTACTAGGTGGGGATTTTCCATCCAACCCACTTTCTCCATTAATTTCATCATCATCTCATGATCACCATCTTCTTCTTCTTCGTACTTCATCCTCCTCCTACCCTTTTTTCTTCTTCTACTTGACTACTTCTATTATTATCATCATCATTGTTATTGTTATTATTACTACTCCGTTTTACTATTATTATTATTATTATTATTATCATCATCATCATCATCATCATTTATTACAAAGTATTATTTTCTTATTCTATTATTAGTATCTATTATTAATAATATTTAAAAAATTAATTTTTACTTTCACTACTCTAATTTTTTTCTAAAAAATAACACTTATTATTATTATTATTATTTATTTTCACAAAGTATTATTTTTTATAGTTCTCTTATTACTATTATTAAAAATTAATAATAGTTTTACTGTTCTATTTTTTAAAAATATAACACTAGTACAATAAAGTCGTAAAAATTATAGAGTTATTTTTATTAAAAACTAAAGTCAGTAAAACAACCAAGTAATGATGATGATGATAAAATATGGATGAGTGGTGGGGGTCTAGAAGATCGAAGTAAGATGTAGGAAGATGAGAAGAAAAAGAAGAAGATCAAGAAGAAGAAGCAGTAGGAGGAGGAACCCACATGAAGATGGCCTGGTGAGGGTGATGATGATGATCAAATGAAATTCACGGGGATAAAGGTTTGACGGGAGGTGGATGGAAAATCCCCTTTTGATAAGTTTTCTCATCATTTAAGGTACCTATATTTTGAAAATTGGAGGGGCCTGATAGTTCTTATCACAAAATCGGGATTACCCAGTAGCAATTTTTTGTCTTTAGAAATCTCAAACTTGAGAATCACATACACAAACCATAATTATTTGGAAAAATTATTTCAAATAATCCCACTTTTTCATATTTTTCAAAAAGTAATCTCATTTTTCATTGTCACGTAAAATAATTCACCATTTCTCATGTGTATGAGTTTTGGATCGCCATTAAGATGCTAACGGTGGCTTAACAGAATTTTTGGAAAATGTTTATTCTGTAAATAAATGAAAGGTGGAGTTATTTCAAGTAAATTCTCTTTTTTATTCATTTTTTTTAATTTCTACTTTTTAAATTTAAATGTATAATTTTTGAAATGTTTTTATAAATAATACAAAAGTTAAGTGTTTTTTAGAGTAAAATAATTATTTGTTGAATAATCGATAATCTAGTAATAATTTTTTTCGATAATTCTGTATAAATGTGTTTTACAAAATAGCATTACAACAATTGTGAAATGGAACTTTTATGTTTACAACTCACTATATTTTTTGTTGTATAGCAATTTTTTTCATGAACAATGCTCCGAATGTTTATCGATAATCTTACATTGCTCGTATTACCTCACCGTCTTCCGCCACAGGCAGATGCCCTGACGTAATTTCCCAGGTTTCGTTTGAAACTTTCAAATGTTAAAATATTCTTCAGGTTTACTTTCTTTAGATCATTTTTTTGAGTTTTTTTAGTCATTGGTTGCGATGAATTCATGGGTTTGTGTTTTTAAAATTTAAGCATTGCCGTGTTTTTTCATTTTGAGAAAAATCTATTCATTTTTTAAACCCTCAGATTTAACTTAAGCAAATACAGGTGCATCCATTGATATAGATTATAGACTTAGAGTAGAAATCTTAAGAGATCATATTTAAAATTTCAGATTAATTACATTTTTGAATAGGTCTTTTTGATCTACTCAGATATAGCTCACAAGTGAATAAATTATTTTGCCATATCAAGGGTGAACCGTAGGTCATTCAATCCGTCACACTGCCAGCACAATTACTCCCCACCCCAGAGCCCCTTTGCACTTATCTAGTGTGAAGTCAAATGTATGCACACTACTCTTCCTTGCTGGCCTTTTTAGAATGCCATCTATTGTGACCGAGATCCACCACACAAGCACTAGCACCACTGGGATGGCGAAGCTTCAGTCTTCTTACTCTTCAGCACCCTTGGCCTTGTTCTGGAAGCGGCGCGGGCATTTGGTGTTTGCTCTCCTTGTTATGCTCTCCGTCACCACAGTCCACAGTCATTGCCTTTCTAATCAGAGGCGGGATTGAATCCTGTGATTGCCGCAGAGGAGTGGGTTCTGGGAAGGTATTTGGTGGTAATGTGCAAGATTTCAAGCAGATTGGTCCTGCTGGGATTCGTGGGAGCCCACTCAGTTTCATGAAGTCGAAGCATGTACTTTTGGTTTCACATGAGCTCTCTCTTTCAGGTACTCTTCTTTTGGGCGTTTATGGATATTAGACACAGATATTTCGTTTTTATCGTAGCAGTAACCTTATTAGCATTCAACTAGAAAGGTTTCAACTTTATCCAACTATTATTACTGTTTGGGCTAAATATATAACTGATCATTTTATCTGAGATTGTGGTCAAGAGGCTTGTGCTTAGTAATATATGTTTTTGAGCTGCCAAGTTGCATATGTGGCTCTCAAAAAGCTGGATTAATGGAAGAAACAAAAGAAAAATGGGCGAGATTGAATATATATTAAGTGTCTCTGAAATTAACAACGATAGTGAGTACTTAAGGTGAAAAGAAATGGGATCTTGCATTTAGTATAGCATGAAGATTGAAAAAAGAGAATGAAGTCCAAAGTTTCACATAATGGATGCTCAAGTCCATCCTTGATTAGTTTTTCGACTCATGTCCACCATTTTTGTCATAAGATGCAAACCCTATATTGTCCAAGGCTTAAGGAGCAAAAAAAAGCACTCCCCTCACCCATGGAAGGCACATACTTTTAAAAATATCATCTATAGGAGTTCTATAAGAAACTTATAGTACAGAAAATATAACCACCAATAAAAACCACACATAGCACCACTAAAAGCTCAAGTTAAAACCAATTAATATTTAAATTAAATTTTGTAGTAACTTTAAACCATTATACTATTACTAAATCAACAAAACATTAACTAGTTTGAGTGACTCATACATCATCCTAAATTTTACAAAGGTATCATATGAGGATTGATTTCATTCGATTGACTAGTTTAACATGAGATCTTATTAACCCATTGTTCTTTCTTAAATTTGCTGATGTGGGATTTCTCTAAAAAAATATGCATAGAGTTGGAATTAAAGACTACAACAAAGTAATGGACTGGATAAAGGCTACGGAGATGGACTGCATAAAGGCTGATGCGATAGTTATTAGGAAAAAAGACAAGGCAACACGTGCTGTGGGATGCACCATCCATTCCTGCATCTGGCAGGGATGCTTCTGGCCCACGAAAGAGCCGATACCATTCTCCTCATTGTAAAAGAGCTTTTCCTTATCTTGAAATCAGGAAATTCATCGCAGGGAGTAGCGAGGTGCTGAGATCCCAACTCCCAAGTAGCTTTTCGATTGTCTTGCCTTCCCAATGAACATAGAGGTCTGGCTGATCACAGTTCAAATGCACTTGAATGGCTGAACTGCAAGGGTCATAACACAGTTGAGTTGTTGCAGAGAAACCATAGTCAAATGAATCGACCCTTGTGTCGTTTGAGAATGGAGACATGTAAGACATCATGGAACTTGCTATTTAAGGGATTCATTAAGCTGAAAGCTGCAGCGCTGCAAAACCACCCAATGCAGGAGTCAACCTTAAATGGTCCAAAAAACTTGTTTAGCAGTTTATGATGGCGACAGATCTATGAGAGCTGCCGGTAAGGGTGTATATAGCCAGACATTATCCTTTGTTGCAAATGTTAGCACATGATTTCCCTTGGAATATTGGACATTTATTCAGGTTTTTGCTTGGAGCATGTGATCTTTCGGAGTGGCAGGAAGCCCATCTTGGTCCAAGAGCTCATGCTCATCCCCTTCAAGTTTAGCTTACTCGTTAGTGTAAGAAAGTCAGATGTATATAGCCAGACATGATCCTTTATTGCAAATGTAAGCACCTGATATCCCTTGCAATATTGGACATTTATTCAGGTTTTTGCTTGGAGCATGTGATCTTTCGGAGTGGTAGGAAGCCCATCTTGGTCCAAGAGCTCATGCTCATCCCCTTCAAGTTTAGCTGACTCGTTAGTGTAAGAAAGTCAGATGTGATTTTAGGGGGGTCACACACTCATGCCCGTGCACGTCACAGAAAATGGTTTCACCCAAAGCAGATGATTGATCACCTTTTTTTATCATGTGTTTGTGGGTGATATACAAAAGGGAACATCAATTTGGTGTCAATCTGGCCAAACAACTCTCCCCCAAAGTAGCTCACAAAGACATTATCCCGTTATGAAATACTACACTTCGGTAATTCATGCATGTGAAAAATCTCGGAGAGGAAAATTACAGCCATCTTCAATATGGTATACACATGGGACACTTCAATGAAATGAGCAGCGTTGGACAGCCAATCCACAACCATGAAAATGACTGTTTTACTCCTCATAATAGGAAGCCTTTTGATAAAATCCATAAAGACATTACCTTAATGTTTTTGGAATAGGTAGTGATTGAAGTAAGCTGGTGAACTTGGAGGTTTGCTGGCAGGTTTGGTAATACTTGACAAACTCTTCACAAGCATTTGACTGTTTTTTGAGTACACCATATGCATTGGAATGGAATATAGAAACTAGTGTGGGCACTACATTAAATGACAAAAGCAAGTCAACGTGACTTGTGATGAAAGAATAACATTCCAGTCAATGTCAAGAGTCCCGTCCATAGTCACATAAATCGCGGTACGTTTCGGTATGGGTACGCGGTACGGGTACGAAATTCGCTAGAGGTAACGAATTTGGTACGAAGGGGGGTAGGTTCATTTCGGTACGAAGTGGTACGAAGCGGTACGGTGTACCATGTATTCGGTTCGGCGTACCAAAAGTCAAAACATAAGTAAACAAAAATAGATAAGATGAGCATAAGTGCATAACATTACAAAATCCAATTGAAAAACAAGACATCATCTAAAATATTCTAATCTAGACGCTGCCTTTTTCTTCTCCTATTGTCAAAGCCTTCATCATCAAGGTCTTCCCAAACCATTTCTTCAAGGCGAGCACTTGAACCTTCTATATATGCATTTTCAGGATTCACGTCCCAGTTTTTGTGAGGGCCTGATTTGTAGGACTCTGAAAAGCGCGAATGAAGTAGAATATTCGAGTGAATAAACACAAGTTTATCGGCTCTCTTGCAATTTAAGCGATTCCTCTTGACATTATGGATATAGGAGTATGTACTCTAGTTTCTCTCCGCCGAAGAGCTACTAATTGGCTGAGACAAGACTTTCTTAGCTATTTCTGCCAATTCAGTCTCTGATCCATATGTTGCCCACCAATCAATTGGATCCATTGTCACGGCATCAGCTTGTGTTGCTGCCCTTGAGTAAATCCCTTTCTTCATATGAAAGGTTGCAAATTGTTCTCTTAATACCTTATCTTCATGAGCATCTTCAGCAATTCTTTGAAATGCTTCCATAACACCAAGTACAACTTCTTTGTCTTGGTTTGGTGCTTTTCTTTCCATGCCACCAGGAGCCAACTTTTCTAAGTAGTACTTATCATAAAATTTTGGATTTAAAGCAAAACCCAAACAATGAAGTGGGGTTGTCATTTTCTCCCACCTATTTAAAACAATTCTTTGAACCTCAGAAAAAGAAGATGAGTACTTATTTTCCATCATAGCATCTTTGATTTCTCCTACCATGTTATCCATTTTTTCATAGATTTCTCCCATTTTTGAACCTTCCCCATCACAAAACCTCACCATCAGAAAAATGGGTTTTGTAAAAGCCAAAATATTCTCAACATCTTCCCAAAACACATCATCTTTAATCATTTCAGTGACAATATATCCAGCTGTTCGCATGTTTTCATCCCCACTTTTGACCCATTCCCGCCAAGAATTGAGGACTATTATGGTGGAAAGTGCCTCCCTACAATCCATTAACCTTCTCAAAAGTATATAATGTGATGCAAACCGTGTTTTTGCAACCTTTAATAACTCCAACTTTGAGTTTCCTCTAAAGAATGATAAGGCATGTGTATGGTTGAGAAAATATTTTACAATTGCCTTGCCTTTCTTATATGTGTTGAGCAGCCATGAGAACTTCTTTGCCATGTCTTTAACAATCAGATTTAAGGTGTGCACACAACAAGGAGACCAAAATATATGCTTATATACCTTCTCGATTTCCGTTCTGGCTGCTTTACAATTAGCCACGTTATCAGTTACAACTTGCAAGTGAGGGCCTGATTTGTATATAAGCATATCTTGCAATGCCTGGGTTGTTGTTATTGTTCATATCTTGCAATGCCTTTTGGTATATACCTTGTTGTGTGCACACCTTTTGGTATATAAGCATATCTTTTGGTCTCCTTGTTGTGTGCACACCTTAAATATGATTTTTAAAGACATGGAAAAGAAGTTCTCATGGCTGCTCAACACATATAAGAAAGGCAAGACAATTGTAAAATATTTTCTCAACCATACACATGCCTTATCATTCTTTAGAGGAAACTCAAAGTTGGAGTTATTGAAGGTTGCAAAAACACGGTTTGCATCACATTATATACTTTTGAGAAGGTAAATGGATTGTAGGGAGGCACTTTCCACCACAATAGTCCTCAATTCTTGGCGGGAATGGGTCAAAAGTGGGGATGAAAACATGTGAACAGCTGGATATATTGTCACTGAAACGATTAAAGATGATGTGTTTTGGGAAGATGTTGAGAATATTTTGAAACCCATTTTTCTGATGGTGAAGTTTTGTGATGGGGAAGGTTCAAAAATGGGAGAAATCTATGAAAAAATGGATAACATGGTAGGAGAAATCAAAGATGCTATGATGGAAAATAAGTACTCATCTTCTTTTTCAGAGGTTCAAAGAATTGTTTTAAATAGGTGGGAGAAAATGACAATCCCACTTCATTGTTTGGGTTTTGCTTTAAATCCAAAATTTTATGATAAGTACTACTTAGAAAAGTTGGCTCCGGGTGGCATGGAAAGAAAAGCACCAAACCAAGACAAAGAAGTTGTACTTGGTGTTATGGAAGCATTTCAAAGAATTGTTGAAGATGCGCATGAAGATAAGGTATTAAGAGAACAATTTGCAACCTTTCATATGAAGAAAGGGATTTACTCAAGGGCATCAACACAAGCTGATGCCGTGACAATGGATCCAATTGATTGGTGGGCAACATATGGATCAGAGACTCCTGAATTGGCGGAAATAGCTAAGAAAGTCTTGTCTCAGCCAATTAGTAGCTCTTCGACGGAGAGAAACTGGAGTACATACTCCTATATCCATAATGTCAAGAGGAATCGCTTAAATTGCAAGAGAGCCGATAAACTTGTGTTTATTCACTCGAATATTCGACTTCAATCACGCTTTTCAGAGTCCTACAAATCAGGCACTCACAAAAACTGGGACGTGAATCCTAGAAATGCATATATAGAAGGTTCAAGTGCTCGCCTTGATGAAATGGTTTGGGAAGACCTTGATGATGAAGGCTTTGACAATGGGAGAGGAAAAAGGCAGCGTGTAGATTAGAATATTTTAGATGATGTCTTGTTTTTCAATTGGATTTTGTAATGTTATGCACTTATGCTCATCTAATTTATTTTTGTTTACTTATGTTTTGACTTTTGGTACGCCAAACCGAATACATGGTACACCGTACCACTTCGTACCAAAATGAACCTACCCCCTTCGTACCGAATTCGTTACCTCTAGTGAATTTCGTACCCGTACCGAAACGTACCGCGATTTATGTGACTATGGTTGAGATACTTCTATGTTTTATTGTTATAGATTAAAATGGACGTATAAAGCAGAACTAGACATGCTATGCAGACTCGTACTGTAGGTCTTCACAGTAAAACAGATCAGAGTTCTTATCAAAATGATTTGAGCTTTTTCAAAGACATGGTGTGCTTTTGTTTTGCATTGGGTTCTTTCATCAGCTGTTCTAAATTTGAATGAGTGTGGTATATTTTTTTATTGAAAGAGTAATTAAACGGGCTCTTATTGATTATTTGGTATTGTGATCAGGGAGCACAATACCAGGATGTGACGTTTTCTTGATGTGGTTGTCTGGCCTGGATCAACCTCAATGAAATGAAGTCTCTACCCATTCACAATAAGTTATAAATGAAACTTGCTATGCCTTCAAATTCACATAAAGAAATGTGATTTTTTTCTGATGTCCTTATCCTATTCCGTTGGGCCTAGCATTGATGACACTTTATACTTGAGGATGTCACTTTGATTTTCTACAATTTATTCAGTACTTCAGTAAATAGTAGTACACGATCTTATGGAGTAACTTAGATTATTCCCTGGATTCTTTGTTTTTTTGTTGTGCGCAGAGCATAGTGGGTATTTAGTAAGTGAGAATGGTGGAGGGACTTTCAAACTTTATCTTGGAGGTTGCTCCTTTTTTGCCTCTGATATGCCTTTCTCCAAAGCTCACAGTTTAATATCCAGCTTTTGTCTAGAAAAAAAGACTATTTGAATTCTACATGAAAATTACATGTACTTTGGAGAACTGATATTATACTCCTGTCCCACCATCTTTGTCCACACAATTCTTTTTTTTATCTTATTTTGCTTGCCAACTCCCTATCTTTCAAACCTAGTGGAATGGAGGGGGGTATTATTTAACTGTATTCTAAAAGTGTGTCCATTGTCTAGAACAATAATTATTGGCAATAGTTTCACTTTGGATAAATAACGGACCAAATCATAATGGCTCAATAAACGTCATTTGCTTCTTTTTATGAAGTTTTGATTAGTAAATGCAACAATACATCATGGGTCTAGTGGAAACAACTTTGCTATTTTTATCATGACCAGTCCTCAACAAAGTTGAGATTATACTGGGTTTTGTTGTTGCGTCTAATGCACACATTTTTCATATACCCTTAGAACATGGAAGAAAGGTAGTGGATTGGAAAAATAATTTTAAATATAAAACAAATAGGTCAAGTATATATTTACACATGCACACACACACACAAATGATGAACACTCATGTCTTTTGCTATAATGATTTTTAATCCTGAGAATAGCTTTAATGTTGAATATCATCTCATCCTGTGTTTATATGGCTGAATGAAAGGAAATTGCTGGAAACTCAATGGTCTGCCAACAATGCTAAATAGATTTAAAGATCTTTTTGTGCAATACCCTCTTTATGGGTTGTCCATTTGCTTAATTCACATTATTAGAATTGATAACATAAATCCAATCTAAATTCAAATTTTGCTGAAAATGATTTTATTGGTTGTGATTTTTAAATTGTGGCATATGCTGCATATCCCAATAAAAATTCAGCTAGGATGCATCAACCAATTGGCCCAGTAAAAGGTGGGTGTACTGAGAACGTTTATCCACTCCCATTCAACTACGTGAATTTTTTTAAACATATCAATGATATATTACTTTCTTCGTCTAACAAGAGTCTTCTGTGGTTACCGTGCGATGTTTAAGTTTAAACAAAGTATATAAGATAAAATTTCCATCATCTCCAATGGACCCAGGGATTCACTATTTTTTTTGGCTTTGGGGTAAGATGGAATAAAGAAAAATGGCTCTTTAAACTATGTGTGCTTCGTTTAATAGTGAAGTAGCAATTGCCAACCCGCTCTATGCTTTAAACATAGGGGTCATACTGCATTCTTGAGTCGGGGGGTCTCTTTGGAAACAGCCTCTCTACTTTCTAGTAGGGGTAAGGTCACACACCCTCCCAAGACCCTATTTCTATGGGATTCATAGTTATTAAGGCGTCGCTTTGGCGCTATGAGATGGACACCTCATCTGAAAATGAGGCGCTTGCCTAAGCGTCGACTCTCGCCTAATTTCGCTTGAAAACACCCAAGGCGATGATGAACTCTATTTTTAAAAAAGTAACATGTGTTCTATTCATCTCTCTCTCTATATATATGTGTGTGTGTGTGTGTGTATTGCCATATTGCACTCACCTAAGGGACGCCTAGGCGGATGCCAAATTGCCTAGGCGACTAGAAGGTACTCTGGTGCCCGGACTCGCCTAGCCGCCGTAACAACTATGGCGGAATTCAACTACTTTTGTGGGATTCAACTGGGTTGTTTTCTTTGGTGTAAAGTACGTAAGATTAAAATCATGATACTTTGTTCAAAAGTTATTAGGTAGTTAAACCCAATGTTTAATATTCAACTTGTTCCTAACATTTTTTAGCAAATTATTGATAGAGTATATGAAAGTAGTTGTGTTTGATGAAATAAGACTTGTTTGGGATGAAAAAAGCTTTTGAGATATAACTTTCTTTTTGGGACGGAGTAAATCATTAATATACAATAAATAATGCTATTTCTATTTTGCATGCCTAATTACTTTATTTGTACCTCATGTTATTTTAGATTGATGGTATAAAAAAATCATGCCTAAATCATGACACAAAAATAAAGACTTTTAAATTATTTAATCTTCAATTATCATATCTTTTCTTAGATGTACACAGTCACCTTTAAAGAATCAGTATTTTCATCTGCACTTTATATTTCATAATTTATATTGGATGACACTGTCTGGTTTAAAACATATTTGAATTTCCAGAGATATGAAATTGGGGTATCAACCCAATATATCTTGTCCACATATATGCAGATATGTGTCTTATGCCTAATTGCTATTGGCAATTTGGCATTATACTAGTTGATTTCATAGATAAGCTTACCTTAACCTGCTATAGTTTCTTTGGAGGACCAACGTAATATAATTCTTTTCCATGTTGTTCCCCCTCTTTTTTTGATGAATATATTCTCTATATTTTTGAAATTTGAAACATAAAGAGGTAAAATGATGAAACTGAATGTTCACCATTGTGACGTTTTACAAATTTTCTTGAACTTTCACTATATAGTTTGAATTTCTTAAATTTCAAAAACTATATTCTTAAATATGTAACATTGTGCAAATTTTGCACTCTTTACCATTATTTCTATGCAAGTGAATTGATCCAATTATCCCCACATTTTTAGTTTACATGCTCTATGTTTTTGAATTTGTCATTGATCCTTTGAAAAAATTGTAGGATCAAGATGCCTAAAACCTACGTTGTTCACCTTGGAAATAGCAAAGAGCTAATGGAAGTTGCAGAAGACAGTGTTGCAAAAAGGGTTTTGCGTGAACATGTTCGCGAGTCGCTCGGAGTTCGAAATGAAGATATACTATTCGCTCTCATAAATAGTAAGTCTTTTGTTTTGTGATATGTTTATTCACTTCCAAGAATACTTTTTTTGATCAATTCCAACTTGCTATAAAATTTACAAGTTTTCCTTAATACCGCGTATGCTATTACAATTGTACTGTAATTATGGAACATAAACAATATGCCAAATTTAAGATATTAAATAATAATGCCAATTCCAAATTTGCGACAAAATTGGGGACTATATAAATAAAAATAAATCAAGGAAATTAAATCCCTCAACTTATTGCCAAGGCTGGTGCTCCATTACTGCATCTTCAAAATTCATACGCTCCCCAGAGATCAAGTTTGTTCTCAAGCTTAAAAACTCAAACATGCCATTAAATGATTGCACTAGTTGAAAATGTGAGCGATCCTATTCTTCCTGTCCATGATTTATTTCCTTTACCACCTCATATATTTGATTTTTTTGTTAATAACACAACCTAAAATATTGTTGTGGGTCCAGCCCATTTTATTTGGGTTCCATTTTTCTTTGGTGGAGGGCCCAATTGTGTTTTTACTTTGTTGACTAAAAAAAAAGGAGAGTAAAAAAAGGGCTGGGCAGTAGAGGACTTACGGACAGAGCAGAAAAAAAAAAATCAGAATTGAGAGAGGAAAGGTGCTGGTGCAGAATTTACAGACCAGCCGCACAAATTCGATCATCGCCGGAGATCCAGCCGTTGGATTGAGCTGAAATTTTCAGAGGTTGTTCCCAACACTTAGGGCTTCAATCTGTTCAATTTTCACATCAATCGGAGCTACGGATCTTCTGTAATCGCAGCTGGTGCGCCGCTGCGTTTTTGGGTGATAATCCTGTTTTTCCTTCTCATATGCTGCATATCCCAATAAAAATTCAGCTAGGATGCATCAACCAATTGGCCCAGTAAAAGGTGGGTGTACTGAGAACGTTTATCCACTCCCATTCAACTACGTGAATTTTTTTAAACATATCAATGATATATTACTTTCTTCATCTAACAAGAGTCTTCTGTGGTTACCGTGCGATGTTTAAGTTTAAACAAAGTATATAAGATAAAATTTCCATCATCTCCAATGGACCCAGGGATTCACTATTTTTTTTGGCTTTGGGGTAAGATGGAATAAAGAAAAATGGCTCTTTAAACTATGTGTGCTTCGTTTAATAGTGAAGTAGCAATTGCCAACCCGCTCTATGCTTTAAACATAGGGGTCATACTGCATTCTTGAGTCGGGGGGTCTCTTTGGAAACAGCCTCTCTACTTTCTAGTAGGGGTAAGGTCACACACCCTCCCAAGACCCTATTTCTATGGGATTCATAGTTATTAAGGCGTCGCTTTGGCGCTATGAGATGGACACCTCATCTGAAAATGAGGCGCTTGCCTAAGCGTCGACTCTCGCCTAATTTCGCTTGAAAACACCCAAGGCGATGATGAACTCTATTTTTAAAAAAGTAACATGTGTTCTATTCATCTCTCTCTCTCTATAAGACTATAAAATGTTTCTTTTTTGGGTATTCACAACTTCAAAAGGGATATCATTGCTATTCTCCAACATTCAGGAGAAAATTGTTTCCATTACTGTCACACTTGTTGAGTCCTCATTTTACTAAATCCTCATTTTACTAAATGCACCTTCAAATACACCCCTCATGTGTATTTTTTATATTCTCACACGCCCCTCATGAGCAAGCATGACCACTTTGAGCCTTGCACGTGAAAATTAATTTTTTAAACTGAATGTCAGTGAGGTTTAAATGCATGACCACTTGGTCATCAAGGCTCCCATACCATGTAAAGGAACCAACTCAACCAAAAGCTCACACTTATGGTGGTAGGCTAAGGAAAGGTTTTTATATTCTAACACCTACAATTGTCCATGAGGCTCTTTCTCATTGAGAGTGGCCCCATACCTTAACAGAAATGGAGGCCCCAGATTGTAGTATGACTTGATACCATTTTCTCCTGGTAAGTGTGTTGTTGGTTGTCTGTGAATTTACCTATGAATGTTAAGACATGTTGGTTAATCATTGAGTGCGATAATTTCATGGGTTTGTGTTTTTAAAATTTAACCATTGCTGTGTTTATTCAAATTGAGAAAAATCTATTCATTTTTTAAACCCTCAGATTTAACCAAAGAAACTACAGGTGCATTGATACAGATTTTAGTAAAAATCTTAAGAGATCATATTTTAAAACTTCAGATCAATTACATTTTTGAATAAGTCTTTTTGATCTACTAAGATATAGCTCGCAAGTGAATAAATTATTTTCATTTTTTTCCTTCTAAAATCTTTGAACAAAACATATTGTGAAAATGTTATCCCCAAAATGTGTCCAAGGTAGTCAAAATGACCATACATCTGTAACTTGCAGAGTATAATGCGTATTTTATATTCGTCCGTCACTGACACTTTTTACGGAGTACTCCGTAGTTTACAAGGGGATTATTCCTTCAAACGAACAGACCCAGCCCGCTCGGCCCCTCCACTGCATTTTCACGACGCCGCCTCCGGCCCTGCCGGCGCACGCTCCCACGGTCCGACCGGCGAGGACTCCTCCGTGGTAGCACCTCAACGTCTTCCGCCGCAGGCAGATGCCGTGACGTAATTTCTCAGGTTTCGTTCGAAACTTCAATTTTTTCAAATGTTAAAACATTCTTCGGGTTTACTTTTTTTAGATCGTTTTTTTTTGAGTTTTTTAATCATTGAGCGCGATAATTTCATGGGTTTGTGTTTTTAAAATTTAACCATTGCTGTGTTTATTCAAATTGAGAAAAATCTATTCATTTTTTAAACCCTCAGATTTAACTAAAGAAACTACCGGTGCATCCAATGATACAGATTTTAGTAAAAATCTTAAGAGATCATATTTTAAAACTTTAGATCAATTACATTTTTGAATAGGTCTTTTTGATCTACTCAGATATAGCTCGCAAGTGAATAAATTATTTTCATTTTTTTCCTTCTAAAATCTTTGAAGAAAACATATTGTGAAAATGTTACCCCCAAAATGTGTCCAAGGTAATCAAAATGACCATACATCTACAACTTGCAGAGTATAATGCGTATTTTATATTCGTCCGCCACTGACACTTTTTACGGAGTACTCCGTAGTTCACAAGGGGATTATTCCTTCAAACGAACAGACCTAGCCCGCTCGGCCCCTCCACTGCATTTTCACGACGCCGCCTCCGACCCTACCGGCGCAAGCTCACATGGTCCGACCGGCGAGGACTCCTCCGTGGTAGCACCTCACCGTCTTCCGCCGCAGGCAGATGCCGTGACGTAATTTCTCAGGTTTCGTTCGAAACTTCAATTTTTTCAAATGTTAAAACATTCTTCGGGTTTACTTTTCTTAGATCGTTTTTTTTTGAGTTTTTTAATCATTGAGCGCGATAATTTCATGGGTTTGTGTTTTTAAAATTTAACCATTGCTATGTTTATTCAAATTGAGAAAAATCTATTCATTTTTTAAACCCTCAGATTAAACTAAAGAAACTACAGGTGCATCCATTGATACAGATTTTTGTAAAAATCTTAAGAGATCATATTTTAAAACTTCAGATCAATTACATTTTTGAATAGGTCTTTTTGATCTACTCAGATATAGCTCGCAAGTGAATAAATTATTTTCATTTTTTCCTTCTAAAATCTTTGAACAAAATATATTGTGAAAATGTTACCCCCAAAATGTGTCCAAGGTAGTCAAAATGACCATACATCTACAACTTGCAGAGTATAATGCGTATTTTATATTCGTCCGCCACTGACACTTTTTACGGAGTACTCCGTAGTTCACAAGGGGATTATTCCTTCAAACGAACAGACCCAGCCCGCTCGGCCCCTCCCCTGCATTTTCACGACGCCGCCTCCGACCCTGCCGGCACACGCTCCCAAGGTCCGACCGGCGAGGACTCCTCCGTGGTAGCCCCTCACCATCTTCCACCGCAGGCAGATGCTGTGACGTAATTTCTCAGGTTTCGTTCGAAACTTCAATTTTTTCAAATGTTAAAACATTCTTCGGGTTTACTTTTTTTAGATCGTTTTTTTAGTTTTTTAATCATTGAGCGCGATAATTTCATGGGTTTGTGTTTTTAAAATTTAACCATTGCTGTGTTTATTCAAATTGAGAAATATCTATTCATTTTTTAAATCCTCA